ATTAAAAATAAAAATAATAATAATAATAGGAGAAATGTGGGATCAACATATAAATCAAGTACAAAAATCAAACGAATATTCATATTTGACCTGATTGTTTATAGTTCATAATGCATGATCAAAACCGAAAGTTTCTGTGATGACTGCCCTTGTACTGTTCACCATGTAAGAATTTATTCACTATCTAAGAATTCGTTCACCATGTAAGAACTTGTTCAAAAGATTGGAGACTGACGAGAATTAGGCTTGAGATGGATTAATGATTGTGCATTGAGCATTGACCCCCCTATACAGAATTTTATTGTTGTCAACAACCATTTGATCAATAAATGAGATGCCCTCTCAAAAAAAAAAAATAATAAGTGTAAAAAGGCATTTTGAGAGACTTGTAACAGTCTCCAAGACCCAGAACCTCCTTCTTACCATCTACTCCTGTCCAGAAATTTGAAGACAAGGGGAAGCTGTTCAGACCCTTGGCAAAGCTTCAATCAATTACTCAGATACCTGGTTTCAAATGGTATCATGGGCTTCTATAAGTAGATATATGGTGCATAATTGGAATTAATAGCTAATAGTAAAAAGTTTCCAAATGTAGTTTTCATTTTTCTACTTGAGTTAGATAGCGCAAATAAATGAAACAGAATCTTACTGTCCACAGCCAAGTAATACAGGGAGGACTCCATATAAGGAATTAGACCCACATTGTAGCAGCTCTTCCATTTATTCCTATCACAGTTCAGGCTGCTTTTTATGAGACTTGATGTCTGTGGAATATGTAGAGGGAGCTGGGTAGGAAAAGAGAAGAATTTTTCTTAAAAAATACTACCATTCACTGCTAATCCCAACAAGAAGCCTATAGGAAGTGTGTCGTTACTCCCATTTTAAAGATAAGAACACAGGATGAGGTTCAGTCCAAAGTCACACAACGAGAAGTAAGTCCTTCTTCCTTCTGCTCCATCTTCCTCCTCTCTCCCTTTCTCTTGTTTTGACAGCCTTAAGGTAGAATAACTTACATACCACAACAGTATAACTTACATACCCATCATAAGTGAATGATATTAGTAACATTGGTAAACTTATTAGATCGGGCAGCCATCGCCACAATCCAGTTTGAGCCCATTTTCATCCAACCAGTCCTCTCATGTTTGGGGCAGTCAGCCCTCACTGCCATCTCCAGCCAGGCAAACAATGGTCTGTCTTATGTCTCTAAAGGTTTGCCCTTTCTAGACATATCATATAGATGGAATCACACAATATGCACTCTTCTGATCTGGCTTCCTTCACTTGACGTTATGTTTTTAAGGTTTACCCAAGCTGTAGTGTATGCCAACACTTTGCTCCTTAATAGTACCCCATTGTGCAGATATACCACATACTGCTCATCATTCACCCATTGAGGGACACAGGGGTTGTTTCCAGTTTGGGGCTATGAGGTATGATGCACATACAAGGATGTGTGTTTTCATTTCTCCTGGATACATATATATAGGAGTAGAATTGCTGGGTGATATGGGGACTCTGTGTTTAACTTCTTGAGGAATTGGAGGAACTGTTTTCCAAAGTGGTTGCACAATTTTACATTCCTACTTGTAACGTATTACGGTTCCAATTTCTCCATTTCAGCACATTTGTTAGTGTCAATTTTTTTGATTAGAGCCATTCTAGCGAGTGTGAAGTGGTATTTCACTGTGGTTTTGATTTCTGTTTCCCCAATAAGTAATGATGTTCAGCATCTTTTCATGTGTTTATTGGACATTCAGATATTTTCTTTGGAAAAATTTCAAATCCTTTAATTGTTTTATTGGGGTTGTTTGTCTTATTATTGAATTGTAAGACATCTTTCTATATTCTAGATATAAGATACTTTATCAGATATATGATTTGCAAATATTTTCTTCCAGTGTGTGTCTTGTCTTTTCATTTCTTAATGGTGTCTTTTGAAGCACAAAAGTTTTTTAATTTGATGAAATTCAATTAATGCATCATCTTTTTATTTTACAGATCATGTTTTTGGTGCCATATCTAAGAATTTTTTGCCTAACCCAAGGTCATAAAGGTTGCTGTTTCCTCCAGAAGTTTTACAGTTTTAGCTCTTATATTTAGGTCTGTGATCCATTTTGAATTCAAGTATGTGTATGGCATAAGGTGGGAATTCAGATTCAGCTTTCCACACGGGGACAACCAATTGCTTTACTTGTTATGGGTTTCTTCAGATTTCATCTTGAGTCATTTTCCCATAATTGTGGCTTTTTAAGAATTTCTCCATTCATCTGAGCTTTTCTAATTTGTAGCATAAGGCTAAAATCTTTTTAATTTCTGTAGGGTTAATGGTACTGGCCCCTATTCTCATTCCTGATTTTGATAATTTTTATCTTCTTTCTGTCTTTTTTGGAAGGGGCAGGAGGGTAGGTAGGCAGTAGAGATAGAGGTTGTCAATTTTTGTTGATCTTCTCAAAGAACTAACTTTTGGTCTCACTGATTTTCTTGCTGTTTTCTGTATCTATTTCATTGACATCCACTCTCTTCTTTAATACTTCCTTACTACTTTTGCTTTGAGTTCAGTTTGCTCTTTTTTTTCTAGTTTCTTAAGGCGGAAGTTTCAGTTACTGTTTTTTTCCATACTCCACTGCAAATCAAGTCGGCCCCTCCACAGGAAAGCTGCTGGTTTTCAGGGATCATCCTGTCCTGGAAGAACCTCCTCACCTTCAGAATTCATCTTGGAATTGGAGCAGCTCCAGGCGAGAATGCTACAGACTCCCGCTATTCTCACCCAAAGATCAACAGGCTTTCAAGAATAACCACTCCTCAATACAACCGAGTTCTAGAGCCATGAAATGATCATCTCTATTTTATCCAGTTTTATTGTTGCCTTTTGGAGAGGATTTCTGCCACACCAGTCCTATCTCTGAAACCCTGCTTTTCTCCTTCACAGGAATTAAGACCTGGTTTCGTGTTTCCCTATCTAGTTTGTCTCACAGAATCCTTGTCTCTGTGGGTATGGAGCAGAACATTTTTAAAAAAAATATTTATGTTGAAAATTACTGCTCTGAGGTTATCAATCTTAAGCCAAATAAAAGAAAATGCTCTTCTGTGAATCACTTCCTCAATGGAGGATGAATGAGGCTCTGTGCCTGTTAGAATCCACATTTATAAAAGAGAACTCCAAACATACTCTTTATCATCCACCTTGTAAGAAAGGCAGAAAACAGGTTCCTAATCTTGCTGACTCTGTAGATGCTCCTTGTACTAACCGGGAGGTGGGACAGAAAATAGGAATGCAGCAGGAAGATGCCTAACAGCCGGTGCTGGGAGCAGGCTCCCGCACAACGCCGGAGCAGCTGCACACTAACGTGATGTGTGCACAGACTATGCAGTTTCCACAGGACCTGAGCCTATAGGAAGGAAACTGGGCCTGGTCTCCCTCTTTCCCTATGACATGACAATCTAGAAAAAATGTGCTGAGACCTTGGAGACTGGGTTCGAGGTTCTGGCTCTGCTACTTTCTCCCATTTAACCTCTTTGGGGCTTAGTCTCCTTATTTGTAAAGTGGGTATAATAATAAAGTCCTCCTCACAAATATACTTGGATGTGATCAAATTTGATGATAGCCATGGATGGCCTTTACAAATGATTAACATGCTATAAATATAAGCCTTTAAATTAAGAATTTTTTAAGTGTATTTTTTATTGAAGTATAGTTGATGTACAGGTTTATATTGGTTTCAAGTCTAAAACACAGTGATTCAACAGCTAGAGACATCATTAAACCCTCACCCCAGCTAGTGCTGTTACCATCTGTCCACATAGGAAGATGTTATAGAACTGCTGGCTATATTCTCCGGGCTGCACTTCCAACCCCGTGACAGCTTATATTATGATTGAGGTTTTTATGCCTCTTCAGTGCCCTATCTGAAAGTCCCAAGAAGGCTAAGAGATTGTCTCTCTGCTGATTCTGCCTTCCCCTTCTTCCCTACTCAGAACACAAGGAGGCCCAGCACACAACTGTATACTCCCTCCATCAACTCCTTTACTGTTACCCTCCTGGGCAACAGGGATGAAGGATGGGGCGGACACTCAGAGAAGGACACAGCTGTGCTTCAGCCCTTGGAGATGGCAGACCAGAGCAGACGCTGCCCAGCAAAGCCCACACTGATATCTCTTTGATTTGTGGGAAGAGGGAGTCTTTTGGCTGAGTGAGGCTGGGAAGGAAGCCCATGGGGCAGTGGGGACCCTGGGAAAGAGCTCTCTCTGTCAGGTGAGTTCTCATACCTAAATCATATGTACACACTGAGTCATCAGAGTCCCTCTGCCACTTCTGTCAGATTATCATGGCCCTGCAGCAGAGCTACACACTCACAGATGCAAACTGTTAATATGAGTAAGAAGAAGCTCTCTTTTTAATGAAAAACAAAGGACTGAAAAGTTTGCTGTGTGAGGGACTGGGAGTTGTTTTAGTATCTTTAAAATGGATTGCTGTAAACTTTTTATCCTAGGATTTCAATTTATAAGGAAAACTGAAGCCATTCATCTCAATACATATTATGAATATATATCTTTGTTAGGCCTTAATAAAGGAAATTCTGGATCCTTGGCTGGATAAATGAGCCAGCAGTCTAAGATGTAACCTTTCCAGGGTTATGTCATGGAAACTAGAATTAAGCTATGAAGATACAAAGACACTGAGAGCCACCGCCCACACTGTAGATCACGGGTGAAGGCTCCCTCCCAGAGCAAACATGGGTCCTTCAAAGCAACATTGGGGAACCGCTCTTGAGGGTGCAGTCAGCCCTGCTCCAGCGCACCAGCGCCCTGGCCTTACCTCTGACCACTCTACATCCCACCTCCTACTCCAGTCAGCCAGCCGGGGGTGAATGAAGGCTCCGGGGGCGTCTCCCTGGTTGCTCGCCCCTCCTGCACAGGCACCTGGGCTTCCCCCCCTACCCTGCGGCTGAGCACAGGTGGGAGGTGGCCAGAGGCTGAGGGCACACCTCCAGGGTTACCTATTTGCCTTTCCAGGTCGGCAGCTTCATCAGGCGTGGCTCGCGGAAGGACTCCGGGGTCACTGAAGCTGGTGCGAAGCAGGGTCCCCATCACAAAGAAGAAGAGAATGCCACCAACCACGGGGATGGCAGGGGTGATTTTCACTGCTAGATACGGGCAGCTGCCAACAGGTTGGGAAGGCAGAGGGGAGGGAAAAAGAAAGGAAATACAATGTCAGTAATCAACAGCAAGTGATCTATGTCTTCCAAGAAGCCAAAGGCTTCTCTAGAAGAACAAAATTGATTCCCATTAAAAATTCATCGATGTCAAGCAAATGGAGAGGTCTGCAGTTCCGTGGTGTGGACAGCTGAACCCAGCCACAGTACGCCAGGGCCTCTGCTCCCACCATGCTACTCAGGAAAGACTGGCAGATGAATGAAAATAATCCTGCTTGCATGATTAACGTAAGATGTACAGGGCTGGAACCCTTTGCACTGTAAACACAGCTCACGAGTCTATGTGAGCCTCCCACCCACCCTGAAATTGCATAATACAAGAAGACACCAGCTTAGAACTGCCTTCACTAGACCCAGCCTTTTCTCCCTGGGTTGAACAATTCAGGGTACACAACGCAGAGATCCTCAAGAGGCAAGAACCCATTTTTCAATATTTTGGACCAAGTCTATCCGAAAATGGTTAATGAACTATGGAAATTAACTTGCAGGACAGTTTCTGAGCTAATTAACCCCTTCCTGTCCTCCAGGCCTATGAGCTGACACGCAGCAGGGCCTGTGATGAGTCAGGGAGCAGCACCCTTGGGACAGACTGAAGTGTATGCCAGCTGTGCTCGGATCCAAGGCAGCTGGAAGAACCACACACTGGCCCAGCCACTGTCCCTGGACTCCACATAGGTGGAGAGAGGCAGACAAGAACTAGCTCGAAGCCTGGAGCTCACTGAAGGATGGGGTCTGCAGGGACGATGGTCAGCCTGTCATCACCACATTCAGTCACATCAGGGGCATCAAGTGGAACACCACGGAATTACGGAATTACAGCACCTGGAGGGGAAGCACTTCCTGGAGGGTCTACTCCGTCAGGTGATACTCTTCCAGACACTCAAGAAGAGACAAGGAAGGGGAGATGGAGAAGAGGGACTGCAAAGCTTTGCTCAAGATGAGGAGATGGCTAGGGGCCCAGCCCTGAGAGTGCTGGGGATCTGCTCTCCGTTTCTGTGTGGTGCTTCAGGGGAGGTGGTGAGATCCCAGGTGGGATGGCAAGGGCATGCTGGCAGGAGTCCAGGCCCTGAAGACCACATGCCAGGATTCCCTTTGCTGAGACCAGCAACAGGCATGTTCCAGGACATAGCACAGTGACCTGGACGGGTCTGTGTGGAGGAGCTGCTGTGACCCGAAGACCAAAGGCTTCCCTGAATTCCCTTCTCTGGAGAAACCCAGAGGCTTTCTGACAACTTAAGAAGGTGGAGGAGTGACCCCAAACATGACTATGGGGGACTTCCTGCCAGGCAGCTGTACTGTGGTCTCCAGAGAATCACCTGATCAAGAGAGACAAAAATATCTATTTCTAATATCTCTTTCAGCTCTCCCCCACCAGCTCCCCTACAGAAACAGAACAAAACAAACAACAAAAAAACAGTATCAGGTCACACTCTGCCGGATTGCCAGTTGTGACTTCTCTTCACAGGGTTTCCGGGGGACCTTGAAAACCCTGCTAACGGTCATTCCTGCATCAGCATCATCCCACCTGGACTCCCGGACACTAGGAGCCTTTCTGAGTATCCTCAGAGATTCTCGGGGGGAGGTGCATTTGGCAAAGAGAGCAAGGAGATGCAAAGAACTTGCTGTGGAAAAAAGGAATACAAGAGTGTCTAACCTAAAGAAATTCCCTTTGTGAAAGTACTCACTTAGTTTATGGAAGAAACTTTCTTAATCCATCTGATTTTGTTCTGGATAAAAAAGAATCATGGCTTTCCTCAAGGGTTTTAGGGCAAATACTAACATAACTAAAACCCTTTAGTGGGTTCCCAGTGTTTCTAAAATATTTGATTTTATGATTTTAAGTACTGAAAAGCTTTAAGTTAAGAAACATTTAAGAAACTGGGGACACCATAATCTGGCAAATAGCACTTAATGTTGCTCCTGGATTTGTAAAGGAAATGTTTTCCTGCAATACAGATCTACTTGTCCTAACAATTAGGAGATTTTACAACCTGGTGTCGGTTAAGATGCCTCCTTCTCATGTGGGCCTGGGCCCTAGAGTCTAGCACAGAACTTGCATTTCAACTTGAGACATGCAGAGAATAAAAACAGGAAATGACCACCTTCCCTTTAGAGAGTCAATGTAAAGTAACAATCAAAATTGTGTTTGATACTGCATCCAATTCAGAACCCAAAATGTTCCTACAGGGCTGTATTGCAGGGCTATGATACAGTACAGCGCAGTGAGCTGCAGAAATAGGCACCTTTTCAGGGTGTGTCCGTTACGTTGAATGGGACACATCTGGACTGACAGGGAGCATCTGTGAAGAGCTGGTGATAAAGAACATTTGCAGAAAGTGTACTGATTATATTGCTGACTGCTATCAACCCAGAGTTAATATCAAGAAATCCAAACTCTCAATCATTAAAAAGTATTTGTGTCATAAAATATGACTATCTTTGTTATTCTTACTGCCATCTAAAAAGAAACCTTATATTGTATTAAGCTTGAAAATATGCCAGTGGACCACAATCAGAAACACAGTCCATACTGAAAGCATCAAATTGACCCTGGAACTAAGAGAATTCAATTTGTATATATGTCAGCCCTAAAATTTTTTTCTTAGTCTAAAATAATGTACTCTAGGTGATTTTTTTTTAAGCAAAATGGTTAGGAAATGGTCAATCGTATCAAAGAGAATTTTCTGGAATTTAGATTCAACAAAAGAATGCTTATTTGAATAATGGCAGAGAAGACAACAGGCCAACGTTTTTCCTCTTTCTCATTAATGAGTTGGAATAAGAAACGGTACAGTTGTTAAGCAGCAGCACGCAGGGGCCTGTTGGATGATATGACAGACCAGTCACTAGGATGCAGTCTTAGCTCTAAACACCTAAGATTTATTTAGCTCCGCTGGCTTCTCCAAGGAGAATACTTCAGGGCTGTTGGAACCCTCCAGGGAAGGAGACTCTGTAGATCTTAGGTTACAGTGTATTTGTTTTTCCTTTTGGGTCTTGGATGTAACTTGGATGACCTCAACGTTTGCCTGCTCAAGTCCCAAAGGTTTCCTCCTTAGAGCAAGATGTAATCAGTCAGTGAGCCATCTCCTCAACAGGTTCTTGTCTCAACAGCACTGCCTGTGCACTGCGGTCTAAGTTATGTGCACTGAGTGTCAGTTAAGTCATTCAGACCCGCCCAGGAAAGGAGGAGGAGGAAGAGGCTGGCTGACAAGAGAGTGCCTCCTCCCTGCCTCGGCTTTTCCAACTGTGTTCTTGGCTGTCAAACATGCAGGAATCAGGTGTGAATCGGAAATATAACTTCTCCCGAATCCCTTTTAAATCTGTTCTTGCCCCCAGGTGAAAGCTCAGGCGCACCCCCGGACTTTTCTGGACAGGAGAGGAGGGTGAGAGGAAGCCGTTCGGTCACTGTAGCGGCAAACAGCCTCCCTTAAGTAATTAGTAGTGAAACTTCTAACTTCATTTTGATGTAAACCTCCTCCTCTTTCCCAGCTGGCCAAGTGCAGGTTCTGGAGACGAAAGGACGCGGGTGGGAAGCGGCTGGAAAGTGCTGCCTTGAACAGCTTTGCTACAAGGTGGCTTGGTGCTCTCTGAGTCTACCAGATGTTCAAGTCCGTTTCTCAGAACCACTGGGAACCTGAGCACTCTACCTGTGGGCAGGTCTTGTTCTCTCTTTCCCTTGTCTTAAAGTGGCCAATGCCCCTACCCTGGCGCCCATCCTTCCATCTCGTTTTGCCCCCCTTCCCATCCTCAAGAACCTCACAGAGACTGCACTAGGGTCCTGGCTCTGCTTGACTCCGGGGGACAGCTGCAAGAGCTGTCTCAGCCTGTGCCCACCACAGGCCCCCTTTTACCCGCCCTGACCCTGCTGCCAGCTCTATTGCACACGTCTCTGCTCAGAGCCTCAGCGATTCCCCTTTTTCTGCTAAATCAGGTCTAAGCTCCTTCATGGGCACCCACACCCCACCGTGCCTGGACCCCAGCCTCTCCTCAACCTCCACCCCACTATCCATCTCACATGTGCAAGCATGGCCGCCCTGACCTCTCAGCCTCCCCAGTATCCACCCTTGTGTCTGAATTGCCCCCAGGCCCCTGTCAAGGCCTCCCCAATTCTCAAGTTTCTACAAAGACTTGTGAAGCTTTTCTTGGCTCATGCCCATACAGCAGCCACAGCTTCTGTCTCTGGGCCTCAGTGATGTCTGCTCGGCATATGCAGACATGCCTTATGTACTTATTGAATTGAAAGTCCCAGAGAGGGGGACCGGGCTCTGTTCATCTCGTGTCCTTCACAGCACCTGGCACATGCCTCACACTTAATAGGTGTTTAATAAATGCTTATTGAATGACTAAATGGGACCCAGTCACTTAATTTTAAAGTAACACAGAAAATAGCAGGAAAGCCAAATTAGCCATATGCTCAGCATCAACCACAACCACGTTACCTTGTGTCTAGAACCCGCTTCTCTTATCTGCTAAGCTGGCTAGGTCCTGTAACTCTCTTCTAACAGGTGCTAAGGCCCTGTCCTGCCCTGGAGGCTTCCCTGGCTGAGGGAGGGAGGGAATTCTCCTTAGTCACTGAGTTGAGTGCAATACACATGCATTCTCTAAGTATTAACTAGAACCTCTAACCCCTCCATGCTCTAGAGCTCTAGCAGATGAAGTACTTTATGTTGGTACAACATTGTACAGTACAAGGTGCTCTGTGACAGTCCCTATATCCTGCTAGCCTCTGAGTGACAAAGAACAACATAGAGTTACTCTTTGTAATCTTGGACAATGCTCTTTATAAAGAGCAGCAGAATTCATGCCCCAAGCCAACAGTGAGATCAGTGCTACCCAGGCACCTTCCAAATGCTCCTCAGAAGAAGCGGAGAGCACCTGCAGTCCCGGTAAAGACAAAGCAATAAGCAGACCCTGCTCATGACAGTGACGCCAGACCTCCAGAAGA